GCACATGCATACGATTCTATTTTTAGAACTCTTTCCATGTATCCGTCAACAAAAATGTGAACCTATGTGTGTATGTGTGACTGCTCGCACGACGGAGTAAAAATGTTTTGGCTTCCAAATTTCAATTTCAATTTCGCGTTTCTGTTTTCGATGCGCCGATGTGGTAGTTGGTGGAACAAATTGTATTTTTGATCAATGCAGATCAAGACAGGATGGTAGCGTAATGTATAGAGTAGTTACTCTATGTGCAATTTTTCTGTGTTCAAATCCTCGTTAGGACTTTGAACATTTTCTTTCTTTTATAATTATTATTATTATTTTTTTTAATTGTAATATTTTTCTTTAATTTTACAATTGTAAAATTGTTTTATTCTTCCTTATGTCCCGCTAATAAAATGCTAATAAAATTTCAAGGGAGTCCTTCCGGTATTTTGTCATCCGACACGTCCGTCACTTATTTTTACAACAATTGTAATAGAACGCATTTAAAAAAAAAAAAAATAAAAAAATTAAAATTAAATATAAAAATAATCATAAAACTAAAACTTTATCAAAGTTGAAACAACCGCCCGCTAATGAAATCGAACCCAGGACCTCATGAATAAGGACCACGCACTATCCATCTAGGCTACCCTCGAAGTTGATTTTATGATACTTAAAATTGGTGTTAAAGGAGGCGCTAGAATCCATACCAAAAACAGAGCTGACAATAAGGATAGTAAAAGATATTTCTGATCTCTTTACTCTTACATTGGTTCGGTTACAACGTTTCAAACTTTCATCGTTCCAAAGATGTTACGATCTAAAAATAGAATTCTCTCTCTCCCTATCTCATCTGCCAGCCGTTTGTCGTGGAACCCGCTCTCAAATGTTTTCATTATTACAGCGGGTTCCACGACGGAAAAAATGAAAACATTTGAGAGCGGGTTCCAAGACGCGGCCTGCCAAAGTGCCGTAGAACCCGCACTTATAGACATTTTTACAGCGGGTTCCACTACGAACTGAGACGATGTTAAGGTTATTTTACAATTTTTTATTTTTTTTTATTGGATTATAAATTTAGAAAAATACATTAAAATAATAAAAATATAATATAACAAGAAAGGAAAGCTAACTTCCGGCGGAGCCGAAGTTTATATACCCTTGCAGTTAAAACCGGATATATATCGCAAACATCGGATATAGTTGGCCGATCCTTATGGGAATAGGAATATATAATCCAATTTATTACAATACAAAATCTAAAAAAAGTCCCAAACTTCTATCTTCAAAAATACGAAAGTTGATATTTCTACCAAATACCAAATACCATTTCCGATCGTTCAGTTATATGGCAGCTATGGGATATAGTCGGCCGATCCTAATAAAATTTGGTAGGTTGGATCAACTGACCAAAAATTTAATCTGTACCAAGTTCCAGCTTTCTATCTTTAAAAACACGAAAGTTGGGTCATTTCCGATCGTTCAGTTATATGGCAGCTATAGGATATAGTCGGCCGATCCGAGCCGTTCCGACTTATATACTGCGTGCAAAGAAAAGAAAGGTGTGTGGAAAGTTTCAAGACGATAGCTTTAAAACTGAGAGACTAGTTTGCGTAGAAACAGACAGACGGACAGACAGACGGACAGACGGACATGCTCATATCAACTCAGGAGGTGATCCTGATCAAGAATATATATACTTTATAGGGTCGGAGATTTCTCCTTCACTGCGTTGCACACTTTTGACCAAAATTATTATACCCTCTGCAAGGGTATAAAAATGGACTTCCCGAGCCTGGTTTGAACTCGTTTTACTTTGCACACCAGCCAAGCACTCTACCACTCGGCTATTCCTCATTCGTTGTTTCGCGAAAAATTTCTCAAACTTAACTTGTCGCGCAATGGAACCCGCTCGTTCCAGCGGGTTCCACTGCTGGAACCCGCCATAGAAAATTTTTCTTTGTATGAGATGTCCCATCTATGTACTGTATAATCTTTGGTTATATGTATGTATATGCGACTAGTAGTAGTTGACACGAAAACGTCACAAAGCCGGCACCTATCGTCGGGCTACTGGCATCTCACTCAAGAACGTCATTAAGTAGCTAAGACAATCGTGCCAATCATTAAAAATCTTGGCCCAGCCAGAGTCAAACGCTTTCGAGTGGCTGCAATGCGGATGCTTTCCGTCACAGGCCCTCCTCCTCCTCCCACCCTGAGGAGGAGAAGGAGGAGTTCTTTGGTAGACTCGCCCACCACCCAGCATCAGCATCTCTGCAGTTATCAACACGTACGCAGTCGGCAGCTCAACTTTAGCGAGTCCGACCTGTCTAAAGCAGCCCTAACTATGCCGTTAGACGTTAGAACCGAGCGCATGTTTATAGACGCCCTAGATTAGGTCTTTGTCAGCAGATTTCGAGTGTACTGTACTGTGCGGGAGGGGACTATACCTCTCAGTCTCCAGCGGCATATGTAGCTATAATAATGGGCATCATAATAATATTAATTCTTTAGGAAAGTAATTTTAATATATAATATATATATTATATAATAATATTATATATTACTTTATATTAGAAACTTGACATACAATATAGCTTTCTTTAAAATAATATAACCTATAAAATATTTTCTTAGAAATATTACCTATTTTCAAGTTATTCTTTTATGAAAAAACTCTATAATTCTTAAGGATTTTATACAAAATATTTCAAAAATAAAAATGTGAATAGATTCTCTTCTCTAGCTTAACAAAAACCTCTCTTTCAAGACTTTATTCTCAAAAATATTCAAAATAAATATTACCTATTTTTTATGTATTCTTCCACTTCCTCCATACATATGTAACCACTTCTTAAAAGATATTTCAAAAATCAATCCAATTACAAAACAAAGTAACTCGAAAAAACCTCACTTCCAGCAAAAAAAAACCTTGTTCTTATACTTAAGTTTAAAAATTAATTTCTAAAAATTCAAAAATAAAATCGTAAATGCTATATTTTGAACCGCAACTGTTCCTAGGACTGTGTGCTCGAGTGGCGATAGCTGCGAAAAATCCAAAGCATAAGCTTTTGGCGCGAGTGGAAGTGGTTGAGGACGAGGATGTGGACGAGGATGTGGATGTGGATGTGGAAGCCACTTGAGCCCGGCCGGGCCTGCCGTTTGTTCCGGCCTCCTCCTTCAGTGCCAGAGCTAGGGCTTGTCCGCTCAACAACCGAGGCAACAACAATAAGCACAACTGCAGTAGTGGCCCTAAGAAGGAGCAAAAAAAAAAAAAATGGAGAAAAAGGACGATGACGATGAGATGTCGGGGCCAAAGGAATGAAACATTCCCTAAGCTCGGACTTGGCCAAATCTTGTTTCTTTGCGCTCAAATGGCAGCTAATTGAATTGTTTGCTTGGCTCTTTCTTTGTTAACAAAAAAACAAGACAAAGATGCTTGATGTGCGAACATTTTGGACACATCCGCCTCATAATAACCACTTCACTTGGCATCTAGGATTAAGTGTAGAAATTATGGGTTCTTCAAGCTGTAAGAAGTAGAAACTTTTACCATTTTAAAGTTTAAACATCAACCTGCTCTAAGCAATAAAATAAAGTTTGGAAAAGCATTAAAATCGTAGCATTTCCTTCTTCTTTTCTTTTGTGATCGACTCACGTGCCACTCATTGACCCCATCCTGCAATTTCCATTCCAATTGACTTCTGCTCCGTCTCGGATTCCGCCAAAGACATTTTTTTTTTTTTGTGAGTTGGCCCTTAGAGAGAGAGTTTTTGGGCCCTTTGGCTTTTGCCTAATTTACCAGCTCCATGGGGCATGGACTGCCATGGATTGGCATGGACTGGTGGCGGCTGCCAAGAAGCGAAAAATAAAAATTAAAAAAGAAATAAGACTCACACATCGGACACCGAAATGGCAAAAGATAACAAAAGACCCGAGCAAAAACACATTCACAAAGAATGTGGTATGGGGAGATGGTGGGTCGGTGGATGGTGGGTGTTTTGGGTTGAAGAAGCCATTTGAAAATTTGAAAATTTTTTGGCACAGGTACAGGAAACCGGCAACCACCTCCCTCCACCTACCTACTTGGCCCACCACCAGATCGGGCAAGGGAAAAGGCTAAAATAAAGAGACAAACCAAAGACCGCATTGACTCTTCAACTATATGGGCTATATGTACTACTACCTCGTATAGCCATGTGAGTGGCCCGGTGAGTGTGTGTGGATATGCGCTATAGGTTATAATATGTTAGCGTAATGCCGAGTGGCACTCTGATGATGGGCGGAGCCAACAATTTCGCTAAACAAAAAACAAGCGCCCGCCAAAAACAGCAACAACACAAAGCCCAAGGGGGGAATGGGGAGACTACATATACATATATCCTCTATAGCCCTATATGGGGCGAACACACTGCAGATTTGCGACTGTAAGGGCTCCCAAAAGGCAAGCACATCTTGCCAGACAGTTGCAATCTCAACTGATATTTTTTTCTTTATTAGAGTGCCATCAAAATTCGGTTAATATGAGTGCCGGATAGTTCTGAGGGCACAGAAGATGCCTTTTGATTAGCCTAATGAAACTATGCGGCAAGAAAATAGGGGTACAGGGTCTACAGTCTTCATCATCGGGTATTCAGGCCCGCAGTTCAATTGACGTCAAATTCAAATTCAAATTCGAAAAGAAAAAAGGGAGCAAATCTCAAGCATTTGATCAATTACAATTTCCAATTTAAATAAAGCCCCGCCTGCGTTCATTGTTTTCGATCGAAAACTGAAACTGAAATCAATTCGTATGGCAATTCAAATTCAGAAACAAAATTCAGTTACAGACCAAAGGCATTGAGAAATAGGTTTCATTTGATTAATACTCCAAATATCAAGTATATAGTAGATACTATATATTTATTAGCTGAGGACTGCTATTTAAATCACCTGCTAAGTGACCCCTTTTATGAGGCCCACGTCAATTTTTAGCATAACTCTACTAATTTTCACTTAACTCGTTTTTCTTCACTCACCTGGACTTGTCTGCCAACTGAGGCCGCCAATGAACATTTTTCTGAAAAAAAGACGAAAGATAAAAAATAAGAGTATATAAGATAAATGAGGCATTAGCTATACTAGGATAGGCGAAAAAAAATTAGATAAATGTTATGGCCTGGCCAAAAAGACAACAAACAAACAGCGAGCCGACACTTCCTCTTTTTAGGTGCTTTTTTTTTTTTTGTGGTTAGAGCCAAGGTGGCTTTCATTGTCGTAGGTCTGAGCCAGTTGGCTCATCATCCTCATAATGACTTCATTATCATCATTAAGACTGTGGCAGTTGCAGTTGCAAGCTTCTGCTGTCTGCTATCTGCTATCTACTGTCTGTTGTCTTCATCATTATTTAAATCATAGAAAATAAGCCGCTTTCCCGGCATTGTTTTCAGCCTGGAAAATCTCACCCACTCACTCCCAATTCCCACTTCCCATTTCCCAGTTTTTCAAGCCATGGCTTATACAATAGAAGAAAGACAAAAAAAGACAGTAATATAGTATAACTCTTTGTATGTTAAAGATTTTTAAAGTTATTGCCACAAAAAGCTGTTTGAAATATTTAAGAATCATTTTAAACGAATTAAAAGTGACAATCGCCGAAACCGTCAAGAAGTTATAAAGGAATTAAGAAAATTAAGAGATAAAATCACGGTAAGCCCTTTGGAAATAACCCCATCTATGAACTTCTTGCTGGAAACAGATTTTCCCGCGGGGAAAGCGTATGAAAAACAAAAGGCAAGGGCTGTGCCCGAAACGAAAGTAGGCGGCGCGACGACGACGACGACAATGATTATGAAAACTTCAACAAAACTGGCAAAAAGAGCGCAACAGAGTGGCCCAAGAGGTGGGGGGTGGTGCCTCCCATGGGGGCAGCTATGGGCAGTGGGCGTGGCAAAATGCAGGCGACACGAAAACGAATGTAAAACACACACAAAAATGCATAGAAACACAAATTGCAATGAAAAGCGGAATAAAACAAGGCCCAAACGGAGAGCCACAATCGGGAGAGGGGTATATGGGGGGAGTGCAACTAAATGAAAATGTTAATAAAATGTGCAACAACAACAAGAACAAATGCAACAGCAACATCGGCATCGGCACAAAAGACTAAAGTAAGCCAAAAGAAAAACTAAACCAAAGAACGGAAGAAGCGTCAACAGCAACAGCTGGAAAAGCGACATTACGGGTTACGGGGGCGTCTCTGCTACACCAAGAGAAAAAAAGTGAGAGCCCTACTGCAAGTAATTAATATTACAAAATATATAAAACTACCTCCTATTTTTTCAGTGAAGGAATGCGGCTAGGTAAGGCAAAAAGTAACAGAACTGCAAACATTTTAGCCCTGAGCTTGCACCGGTCCGTTCGTTGCAAAATAGGCCTCGGTATTGCAACAAGGCAGGAAACAGCAAAGGGATGTGGCAAGAGGCATGAGGTCGGGGCAATAGTCCCAAAAACTTTTTTCGGACGTTAGACGACGGCAAACAATTTGTCATTAATCAATGTTTGGAATTTTCTGGTGGGACTTCGCCACTCGAATCGGATTCAGTTCAGGCGGTCTTTTTTTTTTACAGCTTATGCAAATAATCAATCTTCATGGAAAAGTAGATTGAAATACTTGAAAAAAAGAAATTAAAAAAATACTGATAGATTGGGAAAAAATGTGTTCTTTAAACTCTTCAAATAGCACCTATGATTGGGGCTTTTTTTATACCCTTGCAGAGGGTATTATAATTTTGGTCAAAAGTGTGCAACGCAGTGAAGGAGACATCTCCGACCCTATAAAGTATATATATTCTGGATCAGGATCACCTCCTGAGTTGATATGAGCATGTCCGTCTGTCCGTCTGTCCGTCTGTCCGTCTGTCTGTCTGTCCGTTTCTACGCGAACTAGTCTCTCAGTTTTGAAGCTATCGTCTTGAAACTTTGCACACACCCTTCTTTCCTTTGCACGCAGTATATAAGTCGGAACGGCCGGGATCGGCCGACTATATCCTATAGCTGCCATATAACTTATTGATCGGAAATGGTATAACTTTGGTGTTTTTAGAGTTAGAGAGTTCAAATTTGACATAAGAGCTATTTTTGGCAAAACATTGCGTCATGCCAAATTTCATAAGGATCGGACGACTATATCTTATAGCTGCCATATAACTGAACGATCGGAAATGACCCAACTTTCGTGTTTTTGAAGAATTTGCTACAGATTATATTTTTGGTCAGTTAATCCGACCTACGAAATTTCATTAGGATCGGCTGACTATATCCTATAGCTGCCATATAACTGAACGATCGGAAATGGTATTTGGTAGAAATATCAACTTTCGTATTTTTGAAGATAGAAGCTTGGGACTTTTTTTTAGATTTTGTATTGTAATAAATTGGATTATATATTCCTATTCCCATAAGGATCGGCCAACTATATCCGATGTTTGCGATATATATCCGGTTTTAACTGCAAGGGTATATAAACTTCGGCTCCGCCCGAAGTTAGCTTTCCTTTCTTGTTTAGAGCTAAGTTAGATTTTCTTCCAAAAACTAACTAATATATTAGCTCAACTTTTCATGATTATGAAACAATATTTTTGTCTTAAATATCCTCACCTTAGAGTACCTTTCCACTCTCTCCAAAACCCCCTTTTAGATTGAAGGATAACCAAACCGCTGACTGATCCAAAAATATTTGAATTCGTTTCACTTGCAACATTGTCTCTGCCTGTGGGCTTGTGGGGTGCACTGCAGGTAACCTTCGGTCACAGCATGACAACAACCCCCCCGAACCCCCCGAACCCCCTAGCCAACCCAGCCACCCCCTGGGCTGCACACCTCTGGCCAATTGCAAGTGCACCGAATACCGAATAAATGCGACCTTGTCCCACACTGGCAATCATCGGAGCGCCGATGCTCTCGGTTTTGCATTGCAATGTCCAGCTGTGTGACGCGTAATTGCAAACAAAATAGAAAAAAAAATACAAAAATAGACAAATAGAAAAGTCAAATGGGAAAATACCTATTTGTGGGGTAATGGTTTTGTGTGCGTAAAAGTGTCAAAGTCAACGCTTTAAAGAGTCGAGATTGAAGCAAATTGCAAGCAAGATTACGCATACGCAATGGTGTCCCTCGGCAGTTTAAACACCCACCGCATGCATGCCCTTTCCCCCTGGTTAGGGCAGCCATTCTCCCGCGGGTGCCAACTTTGATGACATTTGCCTTTGTCTACCAGCCAGATCCCCATATCCCAGGGCTATAGCTTCGGATTCTCGGCTTATACAGTTTTCGCAGCTATTTACAGATTTCCCACAAGTCACCCCCTTAGACAATTCATTCTAAGAGTGGGTGGATGGGTGCATGGATGGTTGGGTGGTTGGGTGGGTGAGTGGATTGGTGGCTTGGTGGTTTGGTCGCTTGGCGAATGAGTCAGTGGGTGAGTGGTTGCGTGTATGGGTGTGCTAAGCTTGCAGTCATAAACAAGTCAACGCAACATGTCCGATTAGTAGTGCAACCACCGACTGACATTTGTCACCCACTGCCTAAGCCGACTATTCTACGCTGCAAGATGCAACTCTAATCTGCACTCTAAGAAATAAGTCTCTCTATTTATGCTGGAGCCATTAGAAGATTATCTTGGATTTATTATTAATCTTTGGCATAAGGGGACGAATTTAATAATTATCTCTACAATAAACTGTCAATTCTTAAACTTTAAATCATGATAGTTCACTAGACTCATATCTAATGACTTTTTTGTTATCCAATTGAAAAATTAATCAATCACAGCCAACCCCATTCAATCAGAGGCCCCTTTTTTGAGTGTAGTGAGCTTCTATTGGCGCTTTTTCCTCGCTTTTCCTCGCTTTCCCGAGCTCGGCTCGGTCACATTTGCTTGCATTACGAAATAATTGTAAAGCGCACGTCACTTTTCTATAGGCCTTCGTCTGTCTATCCGCTTGCTCTCTATATAGTAGACGCCGGCCTCCCTCAGAGTCCCCTCATGCTTCCCTTATGCTCCATGCCGTTCCCATCAGTCCCCACCCTGGCCCAAGGCAGCAAGCACACTTGGGCCATTCATGCGCAAGTCGTCAGCGCCCATTCACGGTCTGTCCCAGTTATGCACTGAGAAATTATAAAATAAATATAAAATAAATAAAAAATTATAAAGTGGGGGAATACTATGATAATTAGAATTTTGGATTTTAAATTATTAATAATCTGAATTGGTTTTAAAAGCTGAATTGGTCAGAGTTGTGGGTTTTTAGCTTGAAAGGTATTCAGATAGAAAATGTACTATGATATGATATAATATTATATTCATAATTATAAACCTTATCTTTATCGTTTGATTTAATTATTCTTTTATTTCTTTTAATATTCCATAATTTTCAGTGTCTAAGTCAGTTCAGTTCCAGATCTATAGCCCGTACCCTTACCCAGACCCAAACTCTAGCCCATTCCCGGACCCGGCTTGGATAGCTCGGTTTGGCTTTACCCTGGGCCGGGCTTTATGTTTGGCGCCCGTCGCTGCTTCTGCTGCTGCTTCTGTCTCTGCCTCTGCCTCGGCTACTGCCTCTGCCACTGCTGCAACTGCCACTGCCTCTGCCACCGTTCGCTTTGCCGCTTGTTTGCCATTCAAAATCCGTTCAGACTTTGTATGCACATCAAGTGTCGCTCTCTCGCTTCTGCCTTACATTTCCATATAATACTATCTCTGTCCGCCTTTCTTTGGCCCGCCCGCCCTTCAGCCCCGCCCCCCTGGCTCATCCTTTTTTTCTCTCTGTGCACTAGTTGACGTTTTCTATTGTGGCTTCATTGTTGAATAGAAAAAATGTGCAAAATAGTAACGAAAAAAAGGAAAATAGCAAAACAGCTACCCCGCACTCTTTTCATCAGCCTCCTTCAGTGCCACGCCTCCCTGTGTAGCCTCTGCCACACGCATGCCTCAGCAAGGGCCTCTTGTTTAGCTTACAACTCCCAGCAACTCCCCTTTCCCTTCCAAAACAGAGAAAAATTAACCATATATTTTTATTA